GGCCCGGCCCGGCCCGGCGGGCCCCGGGTCTCCGGTCGCTCGGGGCCGTGGGTACGGACGGCGGGTTCTTGCGCGGTTCTGAGCTCTCAAGCGGAGGCGGCCTTTTCTTCCGAGGCTACGTGAGCCCCTGAGCGTGTCCCGACGCCGCGGGGCGAGCGGCCCTCATCCGCTTCCCCCCGGGGCGAGCAGCGGCAGCGTTAGGAGATGGAGGATCAGGGCTCGGGCGTTCCCGGGGCAGAGATCAGAAGCCCGGGGCTGAGCAAAACCGGGCTGCCCGGCCTTCCCGCTGCACGGCCAGCCCAGCCGCCTTGGAAGAAGCCGCTGAACCCTGGCTAATTACAGCTCTTAACGACCTGGCGGCACATGAAGCCAACCTGAAACTGGTAGGGAGTTGCCCGGGCCCTCCGGGCGATGCGCAGCCATGCTTCAGCTTCGGCTGGCAAGGAGCCGTACCGGCGGGGAGGTGGAGAGCGTGGGTGCACAGCGGCGGGAGCCTCCCGAAAGCTCTCGCCCGTGAACCGCAGCCTTTGGGTGCTGCGAAGCCAGCGCTTGAGGTGCTGCTGGGCTGCCAGGTAGGTACAGGTGGGGCCTGCTCTTCTATCCAGCTTCAAATCTACATCCCCTCACTTTTTGAGGTCACGGACGTCCCAACCCAGCCCCCTGACAGACTCACCTGTTCAAGAAGCAGCTTCAAACCCTCCCGCCCTGCTGAGGTGAGAAGCGGGAGCAGTTCGTGCAGCAGCACCTGCTGAGCTCGGGGTGCAGGGGTGCTCCCCTCCCAGAGTCGCAAGCGAAAATGGGAAGGGGGATCCCAGATGTGAATCGGCCAAGCTGGGCCAGCATGCACGGATGTGAAATAAATGGTCGTTGTTCCAGTAAAAGCGGCGTCGCTCATGCCACTGCACTTGAAGAGGGGATTCATGGTTGCTAAATGAAAAAGGATGGCTGCTTAATAGGGGAAATGTTATCTTTAGGCTGTTGGACCCTCTCCAAAGTGGACCTGAGGCTTTCTGTGCGGGCAGTTGAGGGGAGTTGTGATAGCAACACATTTGGGAGACCCATCAGTCTTCCATAAAGATGATGCAGGGACCAAAAGCCAAGTGGATAGCTTTTGCTTTTGTTCATAACTGCTCGTTGTATCTGTAGACAGATCTTTTCCAGAGGCTGCAGAAGCAGCTCTCCCTTTGTTCTTCAGGGGTGGAGCAGGGGAGAAACAGTCCCCTGCTGCCCTCACTCACAGGTGGGTTTCCTGGACTGGGGAAATCACAGGGCTCGGTGCTCCCCCAGTGCCCTGCCTGTGCCCAAGGAAAGCACAGGGCAGGTATCCCAGCACGTGGCCCTGCGTGGGCATGCGGGGCAGCACCCCAAAATGGCCAGTGGGGTTACTCTGCCCATTGTAGGGGAAAAACCTGTCAGAATCCCCTGGGGAAAGGGTGAAGTTGGGCTTAGAATGAAACCACTGGCTACACCACAGTGGCTATTTTGAGTAAGACCCATCACCATCTAAACTACTGAGTGTTACCTGTAACGGGAGCTTGGGCACTCAGCTCACAGTGACACATTTGGAGACCATTCAGTGCCTGCACATTGGCATCTGGTGACACGTGAGGTACTTTAGGGTGTCCGTGATGTCCACACAGGTCTGGCACATGTCACACGAGACCTATTGGATGTCCTCATCCTTGGTATCTTCAACCTTACCGAGTAGCAGTTGGAGACAAGGAAGGATCCTCAAAGCAGCTAAAGTGTCCCTGCATGCTTACGTGTGAGCAAGTGAATTAAGTCCCTTTTGTTATGCATATGATTATTAATTGAGACATGAGAAGTATGACTGCATAGTACTGAGTGAAGAAAGGAGTGGTGGTGATGCTGCATACTCAGTGTGGGTTTCAACATCGTATCTACATGTCACGAAAAAAACAACTGCTGACATCCAGCTCTTCTGGCGTGATGGGGGAGTTCCTGGCTGAAATAATGTTATCAGCTTGGTCCTCTGTATTTGGAGAAGAAACGTATAAGACTAACCTTGCCCAGTTACAAAGCGATTTCAAGTAGTGGATGAATGCTAGCGTGTTCTGTTAGGAAGTCACATGAACTGGGATTCACATTACCTAATTTTAGATGTATTATAAACTGAGGCATGTAAATTGTACTGGCCATCACATCTTCATCTACGACCAATGGAGAAAGACAGAGGGTGCCAGTTATTCCAGAAAAGTTTCTATTTCTGTCGTTAATTATAAAGAGAATCAAACATTTGGCCGATGCAGCAGAGGCATCAATATTTCAGTGAACTGCATTCCTGGAAACGAATGCTTTAGTAGCACTGAAAGCCTCGCTGAAGGCAAGGCAAATGTCATCCACTGCTCTGCCCTGATCAAACTTCATCATCTTATCACAGAAAGCAATCGCATTTTTCAGGCACTGTAACTCCACGCTGACTGTTCCCCATCTTTTCCTCCTCCACCTCCCATGCTTTCTGAAAGTCATTCCATCTTTTTACCTGGAGACTGAAGCGAAGCTGGCTGTCCTGTAGCTGCCCAGGTAATCCTGAGCCTTTTTTGACAATGGTGCAAAACTTGCTTTCCCCAAGTCATGAAGGGTCACCCCCCATCACCACAACTTTTCAAAGCTGATAGAGAGCAGCTCTGCAAGAGCATCAGCCAGTTCTCCCAGCTCCCCAGGCTGCAGCCTGTCTGGCCCCATGGACTCGCACAGTCAAGATCCAACAAGCAAACACCGTACGAATCCTCACAGGTCCCACTGTATGTCAGCCTAGACACAGGCATTGATGAGATGGCTCCATATCTTCAGTGTCTCCTCCTCCAGTAAATGAACTTGCCTAGCACTGTGTGTGAGCTAGTACACAAAGGGATACCCTGGGGGGTGGGAGAAACTGGGAGCTCACCCGGAGCAGACCAGGAGTTACAGAAATTTAATTCTTGGCTAAATATATATTTATTATATATATGTGTGTCTATCACTGATCAGAGTGATTTTCTTTTTAGCTAGTAGGGATCTCAAAAGAAATTTATGTAGAAGATGTACTCCTGTGTGTACATGTATGTGTATGGTGTATGCCTGTGTAATACAGAGGACATTTAAGGGAAAAATATTCTACAAACCCAGAAGAGTTTTGATTTCATTGTCAAGATAATGCATCACCCACATTTAGCGCAAGTCAGAAATAAGACTCAAAGAATTTGAGAGGTGTAACAGAGGCCCAGAGTCCCGAAGAGACTACTGTATTTGTAGAGAGACACATTCATTGCACAGGTCCAGTACGCTGTCAGCGTGTGGTGTCTTACAGCAGGTGGGTAGTGCTCCTGCTCAGCGAGTGCCACGTGCCGTCTTCGTCAGTGGGACAGGCGAGGCGGTGGTGATGAATGCTCCTGCTGTAACTGTGCCGGGACACGTTCCATGTCCTGCATTGTCTTTTTTGGTGGGGTTGTGACACTCAAACCCCTCCCTGTTTGAGGGAGAGGTATCCATTCCCTCTACTCAGGAAGGGTTATCTGTTCCAAAATGCCCAGGCGATCCTGGGGCTCTACAAGCTGACCCACACCGGTCCTTGAGACTTGGGACCGAGTCTGTGGCCTCGAACAACCAGCTGAGCCCCACATTGTAGGGATGTGGGGGATTGGGGGTGGCTCTAGGGGTGCTGGAGCTGTAGGGATGTCCATGTGCCTCTGGGAGTGCCATGAATTCCCTGTAGTCCTGGGGGGGAGGGGAGGCTCTCACTAGAGGAGGAGAGGTGTCAGGGATTCCTTGGGGGAATCTGGGAGCCATCCCCATGGGTGTGGGCTGTCCTCAGGAGATGTCAGAGTCCCCACTTCCTCACAAGCATTGCAGAAGCGTGCAGGGGGACCTTGGAGATGTGGGGCACCCCAACCAGTCTCTCGTTAGCGGGGTGGGAGTGTCAGGGGACCCTAGGGAGGTGCAGCATCCCCAGCAGTCACTCACCAGTGGGGCGGTGGACTCGGTGTTATCCCTGGGGCATGGCGTGTGTAGGTGGGGTCCAGGGGAAGCCTCCCCGTCTGCAGCGCCATCGGGGTCGGCCAGGCTGAGCAGCAGCAAGTTGGTGCAGGCAAAGGTTCGCTTCAGGGTGCAGCAGTTTGGGGGAGGACGGCTCCTGGGGAACTCCGCACTGGCGGGACTGACGCACCGTGGGGCAGAGGTAGTGACAGGGACCCCCATGGCCATGGGAAGGAAGCACAGGTCTCAGCCCCCCTGCGGCCCCCACAACTCCTCTATTAATCCCACTGCCCCCCTATTGCAACTGATAACTCTCAATAGCCCCCATCAACTCTCCAGTCTCTCCCCTCCCCAGTGCCCCCGAACAGCCCCCGGCTGACTCTCCAGCTCCCCCAGAGACCCTCGAGCTTCCCCAGTGCCCCCCTCCAGAGCCTCCCAGTGATGACCCGCAGGATCCTGCTGCCCCCTCACAGCCCACAACTGCCCCTCCACTTTATTCCCCACTTGCTGTCCCACCCTGAGCTGCCTATTACCCGAGGAAAGAGACGGCTGCAGGCTTGGTGAGGCCCTGGGGAGCACCCAGTTCCAGCAGGGGCCTGGGGGCTGCGGGCTGAGCAGGGGTGCCTGACTTGGGGTCCATGGCCTCCATGAGCTCTGTCGACTGCAGGAGAGTCTTCACCCCTGCATTGCCCATGGCTCTGTTGGTGCAAGTCCCTACCAGAGGGGCTACAAGGGGTCTGGCTGCCCCCGGGCACAGCAGGGGGGCTCCTGCCTGTCACCTTGACCTCACAAGCACTGGCTATACTGGTCACACATAGTTCCATGAGGTCATGAGGGGCTTCTGTCCCAGCCCCTCCCCTTACATTCCTCAGGTTACCCTTTGGATTGCTGGTTTAACCTTTTCTACACCCAAAGTAGCCACCAAGACACTTAGAATTGTAGAATATCTCAAGTTGGAAGGGATCCATAAGGATCATCAACTCTAACTCCCTGCTCATCAAGAGGCCAGTCTTCCCCAGCACAAAGCGCCTCAGGTACATGGGGCCTGTGAGGGGAGGAAGACTCCAACTCAGAAAGGGCTGAAGACAGAGAAGGAAGTGCTAAAGGGTAAAGAATAAAGAGGTTTTGGCAGCAGTGCCACTTGGGCTACCCTCTCTTGGCAGAGAAGTGGGATGACATAGGTGGAAGCTTAATTTTCACTGGAAGTCTCTGTCAGAACTGGTTGGTAGAAAAGGGCTTGCTAGACTGGAAGAGGACAGCCATTGCATGTGTGTGCAGGAGCTCACCGTGACACCTTTCCTCTGAGCAGACTACTCCACAATCCCCTGGGACCTACAGCATCTCTCCTGTTACTATAAGGCCCACGTTGTCCTGCTGCCAGATCTTGTCAGGTCAGACAAGGAAGTTGAGGAAGGGGGGGTCGGAGATCACCAGGGCTTAGCAATCAAGCTCACCAAAGGCAAAAGAAACTCCCATGTGAGGAGCAAGTGGAATAATGTGGACTAAGGAGAAAGTAAATGACAGAAAAGCTGAGGCGATGCAGGATAAACTCTTTTATAGAAGAGAGAAAGCAGCTGCTGTTCTCGCCTTGTTTGCTGAAGGACGAAATCAGCTTTAACCATCAGTGGTGCTCATGGGGTTCTTCTTTCAGGGGTGGCATAATTTCTCCCGTCTCTAAAATTCTGTCCCCCTGATGGAATGAGAGAGTACGGTGAGCATTTCCTCCTACACCCAGTCTCTCCCTTCACATAGCACAGTCCTTCATTTAAGCTGTAACTGTCCCCACTTCCAGACAAAAAAAAAATAATCTTACTACAACTTACTCAGAACACTCTCACTCACTCAACATTTCCCAGGACACTGAAATAACAGCCAAATTGTCTGAAATCTGTACTTGCTTTACCCCTCCTTTTCAGCTACAGAACAGCAGCCAAACATTTTGAGACTATCTTGTTTTAAAAATGTATATTGGACTTATAGCACAGCATAACCACCTTCAGCACAGCACAGCTCTAAGTGAGTCTCCAAACCCACGGCCTGTAGCCTGTGAAGAGCTACGTAATCCCCCCAAAATCAATCTGATGCCCAACTGCTGATTGTTACAGCTTCAGGCACTGTCTTGGCCTACTAAGCTGACCTAACTCAAGTGAGTAGTTAGGCTGAAGTCAGAGGCCCACAGCTTGACCTTCAGTACGTTGCTATGTGGTTGTTATGGATGGAAATTTTTATAATTTTATTTTAGATAAAGCACAATTAGGCAGATGTTACGCAAAAAATGTGCAACTGTCAGAAACAGCAGAGCTAAACTGCTATGAGAATACTTGCCCACCGACTCGCTACACCAATCAACGAGTAATGGCTCAGAGCAGCCTGAAAACAGTAAAGACAAAACAATCGGACACTCTCCACTTCATAAAACTCGTCCCAAGCTGAGGTGGCATGAGTCTATCTCTCTGGGGACACCTGAGCGTGGCGGACCTTCAGGGACCAAGCTTGTGCGGCCAGAACTGACGCACTTAGCGCCAAACTCCTCCCGACTCCTGCCAATCGCTGCTCCTGTCAGCAAGGAGAAGCAGAACCACTCCTCTCTGTCATTCCATGCATCGATAATTACGCTTTCAGAGAAGCTTTAAACACCCAAACCCCTTCACAAAGATTCTGTTACTGTGCTGTAACTAACGCTTGCACTCCCATAAGGGAATGTTTGTGTTTTCCGCCCAGGATGGGCAGTGCTGTCAGCCAGGTTCTCAAAAGTCTGCCGCTACAGAGGGAGGTACCACTGAAAGAGGGACTGTCTGCTCTGAGGACAAGATGAAAACTGCTCAAAAACACTGTAACTGTGCTGCTCCAGGGCAGCCTGCCCACAGTATCAAGTTCATCCTTCTAGAAATTCTCCTTGCACGGCTACTGCGCAAACCTGCACTTCTCTCCAAGTCACCCTTTTTCTGCCTGTTTTACAAAGCTGGAAGATAAAACAAGTATTAATAGACTTACTGGGAATATCCGTGGATTTGACATAACAACTCCATGTGGCGTTTTCTGAAAGTGGGGGGAAAAAGAGGCAGAAGGGGTAAAGAAAAAGGAGCGTTACCCAGAGGAAGTACACAGGATTTCCAAAATGGGGAAAACGACCCTTCTAAAACACAAGCTCTACTGAGTACAAGGCTCATTAGGCCGGGTTTGTTCCACTACTTAAAGACACCCGAGGCTAATAAAATTACACTTCCCAAGCAAGACAAGACTGTAGGAGTGGAAGGTCTGTCCCGTCGGCAGCGCGTTCGCCATTCCCTTTCCCCACACCAGCAGCTGCAGTCTGGTTATCCCCAGGGCCACTGTTCCTCCAGGAAACCAACAATTAAGACACAGCTTTCTGGCTTGCAGGAGGCAGCACGGTCAAAGCTGGTCACTACCATAAAAGATCACAAAAAAATACATATTTCTGCCACCCAAGCAAGGAAGAAGGGGTGAAGAGACCGTGGGAAGTCACCTGAGCCTGCAGCAGACGCTTAAGCCCTTCGTACAAGCCCTTACGTGACTGCTTGTTGCACCACCACCCCCCACCCCCGAGAGAGCTTCTCCCAGGGTTTAACCTAGACTTCCCTCCCTCTCCCTCAACTCCCTTCCTCACGTTCCCTTCAGAGGCCGCACAGAGGGGCGGCACGCACCATGACGTGGTACTTCAGGTAGTAAAGGATGATCCAGGCGGGGACCAGGACCCGCGTCAGGATGAAGCCGCTGGTCTGGTAGGCCTTGAACACCTGCGGGGGGGCACAGGGACTCGCGTCAGGCCCGGGGCCGCCCGGGCCGGGTCCGTGGGTCCGTCGCCCCCCCCCCCCCCCGCTCACCTGGTGCCTCCAGAACCCCCCGGGCTGCAGGAATCGCTCCCAGAAGGCGGCCACCGGCCCCAGCCGCCGCGGCGGCAGGACGGGCTCCCGCTCGCTCAGCTCCTGGTCCCGCAGCCAGCGGCGCCGCAGGGTGCGGAGCTGCTGCAGCCGCAGCTTCTCGTCCTCGCTGTAGCCGCTCATGGCGCCGCCGACGCCGACCCCGGTCGCGGTCCCGGTCGCGGTCCCGGTGTGTCCTTCGCCACGGCGCGCGGCGGTGACGTCCTCAGGGCGCGCCGCGCCGCGTCACCAGGGGGCGTGGCAGCGGGCACGGAGGGGCAGGCCGAGCCCGGTGGGTGAGGGGGCCCCGCCTAGCGCCCCCTGTGGGCCTGGATAGCTCAGCCGGGAGAGCATCAGACTTTTAATCTGAGGGTCCAGGGTTCGAGCCCCTGTTCAGGCGGGAGGGTTCCTCTTTCTTGGCGGCTCCTCCTCCGCGGCCCCGCCCCGGGGCGGCGATCAGGCGAGGCCGGGGATGCGCGGCCTCACCCGGCCATGGCCGAGAGGGAGCTGGGGACCCGCTTCCAGCGCCGCTTCCTGGCGGCCCGGCAGCTCCCTTCCTTCCCCTGGCCGGTACGGTGGGGAGCGGGCGGCCGCCCTCCCTCCCCTCGGGTGGCGGCGTCCGGGGAAGCCTCGGCTTCATTTATTTCCTCTGTTTTAGGAGCTTGAACAAAACCTGCGGGCCTCGCCGGATTCCTCCCTGCTCCTGGACATTCTGCACAAGGTGAGGCCCGGGCTGCCGTGAACGCGCGATGCCGCCTGGTGTGACCAAAGCCAAAGCAATCGCTGGGGTTTGCTCGTAATTACCAAGGCAAGTGACTTTGCGTCACCGGTTTCCTTTGGGCCCAGCAGAACAGATGTCTTTCTCTTCCTGTTACTCAGCTGTTCTGTATTAGCATCAAACTTAAGACCCGTGTCCCTGAGCAGAGGCGTCTCATGCCGTGAGCAGGTCATCCCGGCTGGTCCCCGGTCCCGGCGCGCCGAGGGTGACGGAGGAGAGGTGATCGGCCACCCTGAGAACGCGTCAGCCCGAACGGCGATTAAACTTTGCGTGTGGACGGGAAATGGCAAATAACATGGCAAACCAAAAAAGAGAGAAGAGAAAAGCAGCATGGAGCTAACCGGACTCTCTTTCCGCTTGGTTTTGCTGTTTATTTTCTGAAAAGCGAAAAACGCGTTTGCTGCCGCAGATCTGTAAATTAAGGAACTGATCAGAAATCACCAAATTTCATTTTGTGGCTCAGCATCGTCACTTCTTTTAGCTACAGACTTGAATCACAATGCATTTCATGACACAAAGAACCAATCAATGGCTCCCCTGTCTTTCTCTGGCCCCTTACTGCCTTTCATAAAATCTTCACTTGGTAACTGGTTTCAGTTGCTGTTCTTGTTTTGTTGTTTTAGACCATTCTCCACCCTCTGTCTGTAAAATATCCCCCCTCCACCAAGTACAGAAGATGCTTTCTAACTGAACTCATCAAAAAGGTAGTGCTTACTTTTCATGTTGGTTGCAAATTTTTTTTTCCTTGAAAATATGCCAGTTTTACACTATGGGCCAAGCTGAATTATTTGTATTAACAAAAAATAGCATTCAGTACAAAATATTGTGGCCAACTATGTATTAAAATGGGACTTGATGTGTGTACGCTTTCTGCTTCATGACAAACAATTCGATACCCGAAACTGCCCTGTTCTTTTTCACACAGCATGAATCCACAGCAGCTGAACCCCTGGATGAACTGTATGATACGCTGGCAGGTATTTTAAATGAAGAAGAATCTACTCGCTGTTACAAAAACTACTTACTGGTAAGAACTTATGCTGCGTTGTTATAAATCACTTTTAATCATCTGGTCTAACCAATAATTGGCTTTAAAAGTAACCCCTCAGAAACCCAAAGTGCTTCCTGCCTTTTTCCAGGCACTAATGTCGATTGTAAACTGTAAAACACATTGTCTGCGCTGATCCATCTCTCTCTTCTTGTGTGTGTCCTCCAGCCCACGGGAGAACCTGTTACCCTTTCCGAGAGCATGGCAATTATCTCTGGAGGAACCACGGGGCTCGTCACATGGGACGCTGCTCTTCATCTCGCTGAATGGGCAATAGAGAACTCCCCTGTTTTCAGTAACAGGTAACGAGAGCAGCACAGATGGGGAGATGGGGAAAGATGTAGCTCATTCATACGGCGAGCTACACAACTGTAATTTAGTAATATACAGCATTTACCCCCAAAATAACTGCAATGACTACACCCGTTTGCTACTGGCTAACTGTTGCTCTCATCTGTTCTGCAACAGTCAAACTTTAATCCAGGAGAGGACCTCGTAGTTCTTTTAAGACAGGTTTTACAATCAAAACCATTATACCATGCAGTCTGACCTGTTCTGTGAAGTAGGCTGTTAAATTTCAGCTACTGCACCGTCTAACCAGTAATTTTAACTAGTGCATTTCACTCCATGATGGGATTTGTCTCACCTAACTTTAGATGATCGATGTTCAGGTGTGCATATCCGATCTCATTATCTCGACTGGAAGCAGTCAAGAGGAACAAGCACTTTTGAGGAAAGATTCAGCTAAGTTAATTTTAAGTATCGACCTCACAAGGAAAGGGACTGCACTGCTGAAGTGCCTGTTTCTCTCCTCTATGAGAAGAATTGGACAACCAGTTTAGATGGAGACAACCATGCTGCAGAAGTCTAAAACCAGGTGGAAATGCTTTGTACCATGCACAAAAGCAGTATTTCAAGTAATTAATTCTTATGCTTACGATTGCATCTTCAGCATTTACCAACTCTCCCAGTTATTTGAGACAAAGATTAGACTGTAGGTGGTTTACTCAAAAATTATTGAAATAATCTGTAATTGATTTTATCTTTAGATATACTTAGAATGTTTTGATTTCCTAACTCAGTTTAGAGTCCTAACAAGTACTTCTTTTACTCCATTACCCTTCAGGACAGTCTTGGAGTTAGGAAGTGGGATCGGCTTCACTGGAATTGCAATCTGTAAAACCTGCAAACCCAAGACATATATATTTAGTGACTACCACCATTGTGTTCTCAAACAGCTGACAGAAAACATCCGTTTGAATGGCTTTATCTTGGAGCCTGGAACTACCCAGCACATCCAAACAGAGTCCCAAGGCCAGGAGGCAGAAGCAATGAATTACCAAAACCCAAAACTAATTGTTGCAGAACTTGACTGGGGCTCAGTTACAGAAAAACAACTGTTGGATCTTCAACCTGATGTCATCATTGCAGCAGGTACTTTACACTCCTGATTATCCCTCGCTGTGTGCTATCATGCAGGAAGCAGCAGGTTAGAGAGATAAATGCAAAGGTATTTGTGTGCAGGACTCACTCAACCCTGCTCCAGTTACCGTATCTGCAAGTGTATGACAGATCCTCTCCCAGTTCATTTCACCATTCTGTCTTTTTCAGATACTCAGCAGTTTATGTTCAGACTGAAAAGTAAATTTTATTTTTTTTTTAAATACAGAAAAGAAATTCCAGAAACAGAAGATGATGAATCTGCCACTTTTAAGAGCCTCATAACTCACAGTCTTGGTGTTCTCTTGAGGGATAACACATACTTTAAAAGAAAGTAACTTTTTTGGGACTTGCCTATGTATAAATCTGGAGGGAGTTTATAAAAATCTAGTAATGGAAAATCTAGCAATAGTAGAATTTCTTAGCTGTAGCTACAGGATCTTACTCCCTGATTTGGGGCTTTGCAAAGCAAAAATTACCTAAGAATTCAGGTGAAAAAAATGACAAAATATACTGCCTTTGTCATCAGAATATCACATGATGCATTAAATACGTGAATTCTGTAAAATGAAGTCACTGTATGTATGTTACCTAATGCCAACCATACTGTTCAGAGAATGCACAAACCAGCCCAAGCTGAACTCGGGAAGACAAGGCAACTCAAAACTGAAGGCGATTTATATGTATCTACTATTTGCTTATAAGGGGACAATCCCTTATTTACATTGCATCAAGAGTAACTGCTATGTCTGTCACTGGTATGCATACATCCTTTGACATTTCTGTGTAATAAACAACCACCTCTTGAATATCAGCCCTGAACACAAGACTGACATTTCAGAATTACAGTGCTAATTAGTAAGGCTGACAATTTGTACCCCTTAGTGATCAGTTTTACCTTTCATTGCTGTTTCTGCTCTCAAGAAAATTATTCAAGATGAAAACTTTTGCAATCAGCCTCTAAAATAGAGATTTTTAACAACGCAGTTTCATTCTGCTAAGGACAGTCATAACAGAGAGTACCAATGCTCAACATTTTTGCTGTCTCCCTTAAGATGGGCTTAAATACAATATCGAACAATCCATTTACAAAAAGCAGCATTGATTTTTAGTGATTTTGGACTGATACTAGAGATGAGGGCAACCTGACATAGCATGTAAAATAGAGGCATTTTCTAAGATCTCTTCTTGGGAATTTTTAACCCCTGAATACAATAACATTCTCCTGCAAGATGAATATTTTGTGGTTTTGGTTTGTAATTTTCATTCTGCTTTTTGCTCAATTCTCAATAAATATTGAATGTTTTCCTTTTTGTGCAGATGTGGTATATGATCCAGAGATCATTTCAGTCCTTATTGGTATGCTACAAAAACTCTCCACTTCCAGAGCAGACAGAAAACCTCCCGAGGTCTACATTGCTTTCACCATTCGTAATCCAGACACGTATCGCCTGTTCCAGGCTGAACTTGGTAGGTGCCTTTTTTGTGAAGTGTATCAATAGCTTTGGCCTCTTTCCCCATTACTTAATCTGCAGTAGAGATGAACAGGAGCATTTTTTGGTGATGGGTATTGTCCAATAGTGAGATTCTTATCCTAGAGCTGGATTTAAGAGCAGTTTGCCTAAAAGCAGTAACTTTTCCACAGGGATTTGATCAGGAGATTGGAACTTAAGCTTTTTGCTACATCCTGTCTATCACAACTTACATCTGTTAGCGCCAACTTGAGACGAATTGCAACTGTGGTGGCAATAGGAAACTAAAAAAGGGTTAAGCTTAAAGAATGAAAACCATCTGTGCTGTGCTGTCACAGCAATAACCTTCAAGATGCAGCCTAAACCCTTTATCTTAACTGTTCTTTGAGATTTAAAAAAGAACAACTAAAGATTAAATAAAATATGGAGGGATTTTTGATTTTTCTTCATATACTCTTCAAAAGCCTGTCTTTTGCAGGCTACTAGCTGTACAGCTGGTCTACAGCAATTGGTTAATTCACAAAATTATGCTGAGTGCACAGCAGAAGTGTTACTGTTAATTTTTAAAAGTACATACTCATAAGCACTTGCCTGTAGTTTGCTTTAACAGCATGCTAACGATTTCTTCTTACAGAACGTGATGTGCAACTTTTGCTCTTCATTTTATTAAGCAGAAAAATGATTCCCAATGTTTCTCTTTACAGAAAAAGCTGGAATCAGATGGCAGATTACTCCAGCCCACAGGAACACTGGTTTTCTCTGTGACGTGCAGCCAAACGTAACTATTCTACAGCTATTTATATAGACTTGGCAAATATGACAGAATTTTCAGACCAATGGGAGCTATCTTGTCCTTGCAACAAGATTATCTTGAATTCTAGAAATGTACATGAGAGGCACTGAGGATACAACTATATGCACGGACTGTTGTCAAAGAGTTACGCTTGTTCCTGTAATTGTCAGCATGTACGCAAGCAAGCTGCTGCCCCTGAAAAGTATCTGTGAACCTCAAGCAACAGAAAAGAAAGGCCCCCCTCATACTGTGCTTTGATTCTGTAGAAGACAACAGAATTGAACTGTATTTTTTTTTCAGCTGTGTTTTGATTTGTAAACAATGGAGGCGTATCTGCAGGATCACAGAATGACAAGGGAGCTCACACTGACAAGGGAGCAAAACAGTGTTTCATAGTAATAAATATTTTTTTAATATTAAAACCAGCTGTAATTGTCTACTCTTTTTTTATACTTGTCTGTATATACTTGCATATTTGCAGTATGGGTCATCTTAAAAATGAATTATGAACAATACCTACAGTGAACATAGTAGATAGATAGTGTCACAAGTTTACATGATGCTGTAAGAGGAAGTAATAGACCCTGCTGTAAATCAGGTCCATCTTTATTCTGCAGTGATGACAAAAATCAGAACTTGATTTACATGTCTCTCATATAAGGACTATCACTTTCATAACTAACTATTGGAAAGCCATTCTCTCAGATGGCCAGAAAATAAAGAATCGCACTCTGCAGCAATACTCTATGTATACTGCAAGGAGGAAGAACTGAGCTCACCTTCTTTGAAACTTTCCATAATCCATTAATCATTTTCCTGTTGGACAGTGCTAACCCTGAAGCAGAAAATAAAATATGCTGCTTTCTCCTGACTTCCTTTTCTGTACCTTGTTTTAAAAGCTACTTAAAAGAAAATGAACAAATACTTTAGCCTTCTGCCTCTGTAGTAGAGAAAAGGGATGACAGGTAACTTGAAACATGAAGAATCATCTTATTCTTCAAGCTGAAGGAGGCCATGACTGCTAGTATTAAGTTGGATATACAGAAGTAACCCCACCCCAGGTTTTAGCTACCTCTCCTCAAGAAGGAAGAATTCAAAGGCAGTATTTACAGAGTAAATGCACGCTAGCAGCCCAAACAGGAGGTTCTTTATCTCCCCTTACAGAAAATTCTTCAAGTCACTCAAAAGATCTGTACAGATGGCTTGTTTTGGATCCAAAAAAATTTATTGTAGGAAGCTGAAATCTCTCTAAAGCTTTCAGCATTACTGTTTAATTAGAGAAGTGCCTAATTTACCCCCATGTGCACACCAGTGGCTAAAGGGGAATAGCCAAACTATCAGACAGGATTTGCTTGAAAACAGTAGGGAAAAAAAAATAATTCAAAATAAAATCGGCAAATAAATCTTTATGGATCATTCTTCGGTCAATAAACTAGTGAAATTGCCAAACTCCTGCAGTAAGCAACCTGGACTCTTATTTTCACCTTCCCACCAGAGGAATCAAATCACTGCCAACAATCTTTTTTGATGAGAGAGTGTCTACTGTAACCACAGCACAGAAGGGGAAAGGCAAGATTAGCAAATGCCCGTCTAGCTTGACAAAAGCAGATATTAAATGATTACACAGTAAGCGGGTTTAAAAATGCTGGTGCAGGTTATAACCATCTACCACCACTGAACTAGGCATTCTGAAGAGCAGTAACCACATGATAAAACCAAGTACATTCATTCTTTAAATGGCTAACTTCTATTTTATAATTAAAAAGGTAATGAAAAAAGCATCTTGTAAGCACAAGGTCTGCCTATGAATACTGATATTAACAATAAAAAGATGAAGGGTATACCTGAGTGAGCAGTCAGAAAATGAAGTGCCCTTTTATTAAGTTATACATAATTTAATAATAGGTTTTGGTTTTATTTTTTCCTTTTCTATTCATCTGTTCAAAAAGGGACACATTTTACTTTCTTTCTCAAGGTAAATGGGCACATTCACTTCAGTATATAAGGACAACACTCACTGAAAGGTCTGTTTTCCTCTAAGTGTTCAACAAAGCCGTCACATACCAGTGGCTGTGCTTTCACATTCTTGCACACTCTGTACAAAGGAAAACAACTTTGAAACAAAATGATCGTCTCCAAATCATAAAAGAGGATATTCAGCGCTTGTCTAGGGAAGACTAGCCAAGAATATTAACTGGTTGAAAAAATAAGACCCCCACTGTATCCTCAGTTTAATTCAAGTAAGAGGCATCTTCCATTTGCAAGAGAACATATCCAAATCACCTACTAAAGTGCTTACTGTACAACAGGTATAACTGGTAATAGTTTATCTATGTATTCAAGTATCTTCACCAAAAAGTGACCTTTAAGCAGCACAGGTAACAGATTTTGCACATATGAGTTCCTAGAGTAACTAAACTTCCCTCCCACTTTCTCAGGATCCATCCCAAGTGGTAAGGAAAGAAAGGCAGTCCAGATAGCAAGGCTCAAGCTCTTCAGCACAGGAACCATGTCTCCCCTCCAGACTTACACTGTTAGCAGACAACAAATAGCCTCAGCTGCACCTTCAGCACTACTCTTACTCACATGAGAAGCTCAAATTGTAAAGGAAGAGGTGTGTCCAAACACTCGTTCCAAGATGAAGTAGTTAAAAACTGCAACTATAGACAATACAAACTGTTTATTCACTATTTATCAAATCTGTGCAGCTTCAGGAATGCATTAGCTTTTGTGACACCCTCCTCTCCCACAAAAAGTCATTCGTTCTGCCCAAGCAAAGGAAGAACAGTCTGGTCCCAACTCTCATCCCAGCGCAGCTGCTTGGACGCACGAAGGTTTTTTCTGAAGTTGTGAAGTTTGCCTTCCAGTGTAGGAAATCCCAAGAAAAGCATCTGTAAGTTAAAAAGGAAAAACAGAAAAATACCATCATACTACATTTTAGGCTCATTCTAGCCTCCCCAATGTTAATCCTCAACTACAATGCTGCAGTAAGAGAGTGCTCTTTGGTCTGGCCCTATAAATAGTGAACAATGACAATATTTTAAATGTTCTTGCCAGCTTCAGATTCATATTCAAATAGAAGTGAGGCCAGTAACATTGACCAGGCAAAGCAGTATCTTCTGAGAATGCAAAATGCACAGATGATAGTCAGATATGGAAAGGTGGCTTACATGGGAGCACCTTTGCAGTTACAGCTAGTGGGAAAGAAAAATCAGTCAAGCCATTACCTTTAGTTGTTCTGCAAGTTCATTTGAGTCCCTAAATATCAGACCATTTTCATCGTGTTTCACAAGTTCATGTAAACTGTGAACAAAAGGCACAGAAAAAAACATGAGACAAAAAGCAGCAAGAGGGACATATACATTTTAAAAGTTGCATAGTGACATCCAAAAAGATTGTACTAGGCTATCTGTAACATAATGATCCTGGATGTCTAGATATGAGCTTCATACCTGACAAAATGGAACAAAGGCGGCAGTTTTAAACATTTCAGTTTAAAGATTGTTTCTCCCTTCTACGTCAGACTATTTAAATGTACCATTACAGTACAAAAGGGCCCTCACTCTGTCTTTCTGCCACTCAGGTATCTAGACATACATTAAAAATCAAAGCTATAATCTACTTCAGAATTAACCCACAAGGAAAATCTGTCCATGATGCAGTTCATGAGATCTTCACAGAGAATTTATGTTTCTTTATAAAAGCTACTGTTTCCCCAGAGGACCATAAATTCTAAGACTGACTATGCATACACTCACCCCTTCACAGAACAGAGACACGTCTATGCAGAAGGAAGCTTTTTTTTAATGAAGTATTTGGAAACAAAGGATTACAGGGTAGTTATTTTTTTAAGGCAAGTGGTTGCATTAAATGCTCCCAACTTTGTAGAGACTCGTCTTAATTTTTTAACTTAAAATAAAACAACCTTGATTTCTAACTTATCTTACTGAATAAAAGAAAGTTATTATGGCATAATGCTGGAATCTCATTTGATATATAGAGTAGTTCCTGAACTCTTGCTTTGTAAGAATACTCTTTTATATGATCCACTTAAACTGTATCAGAATAAGCAAGCTCTTACCATTCAAAATATATTGCACACACAGGTAAACAACAGCCAAACATATCTACCACCTTCATGGGTAAATCCAAACCGCTAGATGATTTATGGAGACATACCCCCAGGTCTGCTGAGCCTGAAAAGCAAGCCAAACAGACAAGAGGCTGAATTCTCTGAAAGCAGCTCTTCTAGCCTTACTGTAAACCTTTCTAGCTATGTATTACTTTGGGCAATGCAAACTAAACATGAGCTACCTTCAACACCATCCAGACTGGCTCAATTTCAAGCACTCAGGGGCAAAAAAAACCAAGCGCAATATATTTTGTGACTAAAATTAGTGAGGCTTTAGAAACATATCAGGTGAGTGCATATTAAATTAAAGGGAATTTTAAAATTCACATATCTTAAAACAGCCTTTCTGCCTCTTAATCTGCTAAAAACAGGTAACTGCACAGAACTCCACCACAATCCAGACAGGATACACTGCATGGCTCACTAGCAACCTCTTCCAGTTCAAGTGATTTCGAAATACAGAAATTACAGCGTTGACTTTATAGACTTTATAGTCATTAGTTAAAAAGTACCAAATAAACACAGTGTTTTACAGCCATATAAATTGGCAGGCTCTAACCCTGCAGAATGCAGATCAATTTGAATATGTATTTTACCACTTTTAAGCTTACTCACACTTTATCCTAATACAGTAAACATGCTAAGGGAATACTATTCCAAGGACTTGTTAATTTAGAATTTCAGCTACTTTTGGTTGCTCAGCCAAAGACTTTATGATTTCATTTACTGAAGTGACCCTGAAAGTAAACTGGAACATGCACAGGCACACTGTATTTCAGCGTAGTTAGAAGAAACAAAGAGGCGAAAATAGCAATACAGGTACTATGCCTACTTCTTGGGACAACAGTGAAAAACTGTAGTTAGAGAAATTTAGCAATTTTGTTAGCATGCGTCAAAACCACAAATATACTGTCACTAACCAGCAACTTCAGTCACTTACTATATTCTACCACCTTCTGTGCAAAATCTGTATCAGCTCTCCGCAACTGTGCTAAGTTGTTTTTCACACATTCTCAAGCCTGTTTCATAATCCACTATTTACCAAGCAAAAGAGGGTAATCCTCAGCTTCAAGCCACGGTGTACAGATCTGGATATGTTTAAAGTGCAGTTTATTTATCAGTCCATTGTAGTAGTCTTTTAGAGGTCCTTTACCTGTTTAAAGCAGAAAAGAAATACATGTAATAGTTCTTTTATTAAGATGACTGAAAATAGTGTGGTCTGTGCGTCTTGCTGTACAGCTGACAAACTCCTGTTGTATCAGGTACATCGAAAAGGATACCACACACAATCCCCCAAAAGACACATAAAAGACTAAGTACTGTAGAAAGAAATGCGAACCTAGACTTCTCTCACTCAGTATTTAGAAGAGCCTGCCATCAATATAGAATCATAGAATCATTTAGGTTGGAAAAGACCTTTAAGACCATCAAGTCCAACCGTTAACCTAGCACTGCCAACCACCACTAAAGCACGTCCCTAAGCACCACACCTACACGTCTTTTAAATCCCTCCAGGGATGGTGACTCAACTATTTCCCTGGGCAGCCTGTTCCAATGCTTGACAACCCTTTCGGTGAAGAAATTTTTCCGAATATCCAATCTAAACCTCCCCTGGCACAACTTGAGGCCATTTCCTCTTGTCCTATCGCTTGTTACCTGGGAAAAGAGACTGACCACCACCTCGCTACAACCTCCTTTCAGGTAGTTGTAGAGAGTGATAAGGTCTCCCCTCAGCCTCCTTTTCTCCAGACTAAACAACCCCAGTTCCCTCAGCCGCTCCTCGTAAGACTTGTGCTCTGGACCCTCCACCAGCTTCGTTGCCCTCCTTTGGACACACTCCAGCACCTCAGTGTCTTTCCTGTAGTGAGGGGCCCAACACTGAACATGGTATTCGAAATGCGGCCTCAGCAGTGCCAAGCACAGGGGAACAATCACCTCCCTGCTCCTGCTGGCCACACTATTTCTGATACAAGCCAGGATGCTGTTGGCCTTCTTGGCCACCTGGACACACTGCTGGCTCATATTCAGCCGGCTGTCACCAACACCCCCAGGTCCTTTTCCACCAGGCAGCTTTCCAGCCACTCCTCCCCAAGCCTGTAGCATTGCATGGGGTTGTTGTGACCAAAGTGCAGGACGCAGCACTGATCCTTGTTGAATCTCATACAAATAGCCTTGGCCCATCGATATCGCCCAGTCTTGACCTGCATTTTGCCTACAGCCCTAAGATAACCAAATAACTAATGACAAATTTCTTCAGCACAACTGGCCCTTCAAAGTCACACTAAGTTTTAGTTAACGAAACAGCATTCGTTCTGCCTACACAACTTTTTGGCAAAACCTCATTTGATGGTCCTTTTTTCCAGCACTAAATAAAAATCTTTCTGCTTAACACTCCAAACATCAGATTTTACGTTTCTTTTGCAGCATCATCTCAATGTTCAGCTTAAATTCTTTTGAACGTGGACTAATGTACAGCTGTACTAGATAGGGAGGCCTATATGGCTGTAACAGACCAACTATAAATCACTACTCTTATAACCAGACATAAAGGCAACCATTCCTCCTCTCTCTTCACCATCAACAGAAAAGTCAGCATAGAACAAAAGTGAAAATGAAGTTTTCTGTATTTGCACTGAGGGAATTGTAACGCACGTAAACTACTACCTGTTATCACACATACTAAAGATGGAAGCTCGATTCCCTCATCGATATACCGCTCATAATCTGGAGAAGATAAAAAACTGTTTTAGAGTCGACAAATATATGGATGCTTGGTTTAAGAATGGTCACAGTGTGTTAATTGTTTAGCTTCCTACTTCAAGTAGTTTATTTACTAGCATATACCTAGTAAAATTGTAGTAAGTTTAGAAATGTTAAAATTGACAAACTTCTATAGAAATAAATTATGGTCTGTTTAAAATGCACTACTCATAAAGCATTTGTTCGACTACACCATATCAGCTGTTTCAATGTATCAATTTAGAAACTGCAGCTACAAAGTCTACAAAATAAGACAATGAGTATTCCCTTCTTTCCTATTAGCAGATGCCTATGGACAGTATATGTAACAGCTTAGAAAATAAAATCACAATTTACAAGCTAGTTAGATACAATTCTCCCCGACAACTACTCTAATTGAATCCAGATGTTCCACTTCTCTATTTCAACTACTACTCTTAAACCACTGCTAATTAATCAAATACACCTGCATTTTCACTTGAACATGGAAGCACTGGTGTTTAGTGAAACCCTTCATAACTGTCCAGAATACAACCATTCCCCTTTGAACAGGTAAGGTTAATTCCTTCATACCTACCTTCTAAAGCTTTTAAAAGGACTGAAAAGTCTTCATCCTCTGAAAGAGAAGGCTTTATTAGTGCCATTCATATTTCTATCACTTATAATGAATTACTGTCTTTAAGTAACAACAATCAAGATTTTCCTCACCTTCACCTACATGATTGAAGTATGGACCATGCTCTTCCTATTAAAAATCTGCTGTAACTATTTTCATAAATAGAAGTCTATAACCATATACAGTGCTTATTTGATCCCCTTAATGGCAACACAGCAGACAAACAAGCCACAAATACTGCACATGCTCAAAGCTATCAAGCTAAAATTTTCTCATTTCTAAAGCTAGAGAATTAAGTGTAGAAATTGCCCTGTTAATTCAAAGGTATAGACAGTTCTGCCCACAGAGAACAAGAAAGTGAGAAAATTATGTAATATACATTATCAGAAATAAAGGAGTAAATATTTTAGCTTCTTCATCTATTTTACACCACCGTGCAAGACCGTATGCCTAGAATAAAAGTTAAAAAAAGAAGTAAGAAATCTCTTTTAATAACTCTTGAAGCTGAGCCTCTAGACTGTAGCTCTATAATTAAAATGCAACTTAAGAAATAATTCATTTTTAGCCACAGAGGTATATCATATATAACTTGTCTTCATATTCTTCCAGCCAAATGAAGGAAAAATGTAACTTCACCACTGATGATGTAAACATGCCTCTGTAGTGCGTCAAGTGCGAGGAAGTATAAACAGCTCTAGTTTTATCTTTTGTTAAACAGTGGTTAAATATTAACAATAAAACTATTTGTTTCCAAACCTGTCCAGCTTGTGCTGCTGATTAGAAGAGCTGGCCGTCCTCTGGCTTTTATCACATGTCCATTTTTTTCATCCATTTCTGTAAAAGCAGTCCACTCAGCATTCAAACTGCTGGACTCTGTACTATGGAAACAGAATTTTCTGAGTATGGACTACACAAACAAGCAGGAAATACTATGCTTAACTGGCATCAATTTCCAAACACTTTGTTTCAGATTTGCTGCTCAACTTCTTTAGAAACACAGTCATTACAGTACTGAGCTGCAGAGAGATACCTGATCACCTTTCCTATTGCTACCAAGAGCCTAGTGACACTACTGCTATAGGCACGATTCCATCTTCTAACAAAGTGTTTTCCCTAACAAGTTGAGAGAATAGTCTCTCTTTCCAGCTCCGTCTCAAACATATAGCAGAGCATGGAGGCCAACAGTACATTTATTCACTTAAACTCAGAACCTCTACATTCTGTGGTGGGCATTTCCCCCCCCCA